ATGCCTCCCAAATGACCGGGACCCTGTGGTCCCGTGAATGGTAAAGACATACATAACTAAGTATAATAATAAGAATAACTAATAACGAAGTGTCTTAATAACTACCTAACTTACACTGTTTACTTATAGGGCAAAGTGTCACACACGGTACAAAGGTTCAGGTGTATAATTTATTATGGTAGGTATATAATATATTGCGATTGTATGGTAGGTGTATAATATATTGCGATCTGCAGGTTTTGAAGTTAAAATATGTTCAGAAAATAGTCTGTTTAAATAATAAATAGGCAATCTGTATCAATAATTATGTTCAAATATTTGTTAAATGCTGCGATGAAGCTTAGTAGCCAGTGCAGTGGTAATTGTTGCAACTGGGAAAAAAGACGTTTTACTATAACATAATGACTTAAACATAATTAATCCCTTATTATTCCTTAGTCCCTCATGTATGCAAGATAACGCCATTAATCGATAGATTGTCCTTAATCGGAAGACAGGAAGCCATTTAAATTTGATACCTTTCTCGCTTCAATAAAGCTCAAATTTCCATTAGGGCAATGACAATAAGAACACAATAAGATATTTAAGTAACAGGGATATTCAACTTACCTAATAGTTTTTAAATGTTTGTAATTTGTCACGGTAGCCACCACAGCCTAAAGCTAGTTCATTATAGTCTAAAAAGTTCTTTTAATAATATTTTAGTTTCATGTTATTCTCATAGTCCTCATAAGTATGTTTAACACGTAGGTACACCATCGAGAGGCGACGAACGATGACGTAACGACCATTAATACGATCACGTTGCGTAAGAGCAAAATGAAAGTCTTTGTATACTTTTAAACTGTCAAACACCAAGCGGTCACCGGTGACCGCGACCTATTGTTCTTTAATTGTGTCTATAAAACCGGTACTCGACGAGTTAATGATATGAAAACGATCTCCTACTGTTCAATTTTATAAGATCAATTTTAAATATTGGCGGTAACATGCTGTTTGTTTCATAACCAGATTTATTTTGTACCTATCTTTGTCATTTGTGTAAAAGTACGCTTGTCTAGTCTAGTGTGTAATTTAGAAAAATTCTTTTATCTGTTGCTTCAGCTTCAGTAATTTTGTCTTGAGAATGCCATTTTGTAATGGATTGAATTCTAAAAGAATTTGTAAGGTCTTTTACTGGGTATTCGTGTGATTTTAAAGGCCGTGTTACTATCTTTAGGGCATTGCAAAGTTAAAAGGTAGCTAGCTAGGTAGCACTTATGTTGTATACACAAAGAGACTCCATAAGTATGTCAGTGACCCAAAAACGAAGTTCACGGGTCCTTATAGAAAAAGTATCAATAGTGTTTAAAATATAAGAATTCTTATTGTGTGTAGATCATTAATAATCCAGACCCAATCTAAATAACAATGGGACAATCGGTACTCATTCGCTCGAGGTACCTTACTGCTAACTTTGACACAGATAGTGTTGGGAAACCAATATTCCAATTTAGCACACTCCATTTTTAGCACATGAAAATTGGGTGGCGCAATAAGATTGGACAGCACTATTTTTTGACAGTGATGTTTGTTTTTAAACGGCATTCGAATTAATTAGATTTTTTTAAGTATGTATTATAGGCTTTTTTGCCAATCGTCTTGTTTTGATCATTTAAATCTTGATTGTAGGAAGTAATTTAAAATTAGCAACACTTAAATGCGTTAGGTAATCAATGATTAAGTAAATCTTAATAACCAAAACATTAGAAGAGTGGTTCGTTTGGTCTTTGCATAAGACCTATGCTACCTATCATCTTTCAAAGCTTTGTTTATGCATATCGAATAGATTAAAGTCTAGACTAAAATTGCACTTAAGTTAGGTAATTTACTGTATACCAAAAACATAGGTAATTTTGACAATTAATTCATCGATGCTGTAAGTCATTTCGGTCTTTGAAAATCTTCTATGGTTACACACTAATTCGACTAACCTTTTAAAACCATTTAGTTATAAATTTTTTTTTACAAAAGGAGGCTCGTGCGGCCAGTATTTTTTTTAAACAACCGGTTTTCTTATTGCGAAACTCTTGTTTATAAATACCATGTTCTGTCTCATCTATTAGCATGTAAGAGACAAGGACAGTGAATCGGAGGCTGTAGGTACTGCGAAACGAAGGTACTGTGTGGGTAGGTGCAAACTATTTGAGTCAAGGGAATTGCGTTAGATGTTAGTGATGGGCGTGATCGACCGGTTTATTCGAATTCGCATAGGTATTTATCCGCTTGGATTGATGGTAGTGGCCACACTAGCTTCAAAGAATATATAATATTTATAGTTGTCTACTGTTATTTCTCATGATATTTCAATTTTTAAGAACATTTGTAAGGCTTTATAGCTAGACACATGCAATTAGTCATACCTAGCAATCATTCATATGTCTCTTTTAAAATAAACACTTGAAGACAACTTCCAATCTCAATGACTTGTGCGTGTTTAAAATTCAATCTCTTATTGAACATTTAAAATATTAATACAATCAGCAATATTAATATCTATTTTTAAACAACGAAAACATGCTCACTTATTATTATTAGAGAAACCGGGTTATAAGGAAAAAAATATTACAATTAGGTACCTACATAATATTTATTATTATAAAACTCTAATTAATTAATTAATTAAATTATTCTTACTAAGTATAACCGATAACTCTGATATTTATTATAATACATATGTATTAATAAATATTACAATAATAAATTACGAAATTATTACAAATCGCATAAACGTTATTCGAAATTAGACAATCGTTGCGATTCGATATCGATAAGGTATGATAGCAGCTTGCGCATCACTATTTAGAAGGGCATACGGTTTTAAGCTTCGGAGTTCAAAACTGGTAAAGTTCGCTTTTTATTAAAGGCGTGAACCAAAGAGGCACGCATTACATGGTATTTCTGAAGGTCATACATGTAAGAAGTAAATTGGTAATTATTTACCTTTACTTAACAGTAAGCTACTTACTATGTCGATCACGTCATCAATATTTAAAGATCGTTTTGTGGACTAGTGGCAGAGAATTCCTAGTCATGTGGTCGTAGTAGGTACTTCAGTAAATATACTGAAAGTCCTACATAATGCTTGCATTAAAAATGTTATAGTTTATAAGGGGATATTAAATATTAGTTTTATCGGATTTGGATAAATCTTGACACGAAGGTAGACAACTGTAATAAATAAAATGTAACATCTTGCGTTCTACATCAAAAACAAAACATACGAAACTTATTATGGATTCATTTTCATAGCCTCATCATCTTCACATAGATTGATTCCATGTTTAAAATTACTTCACAATAATCTTAATTCTAAAACATACATTTCTATAAATACACATATTGCATTGTAGAATTTAATTAAAGAACTAGTTTTGTCACATATTTTAAGTTTCAGTCGAGCGAAACTAATCCTTCCTATTTATAAAATAAAATTTATAATTAAATGTGTTTCTTAAATGTTGGACAGTATCTAAAATGGTAACTTACGTATCTATACGAACGACGGTAGTAGCATAAATTATAAAAAATACGTTACAAAATCATCAGCTTAGTTAGAGGCTGCATTAAACTGTCAAACACCAAGCGGTCACCGGTGACCGCGACCTATTGTTCTTTAATTGTGTCTATAAAACCGGTACTCGACGAGTTAATTGTGAATTAATTCGAACAAAATCCTAAGATTTTTCCTACCTACATAACAAAACATAACATCACGCCTTTTATCCCCAAAGGGGTAGGCAGAGATGTACATTATGCCACTGTATAATGTAACACCCACTTTGGACTATTTATGTTATGAGTATCATGTAATAGGGGGTGAGCCTATTGCCATATACCGATCACAATTCCAGACTCAGTGCTACTACTGTGAATTTTTTGAAAAACCCAGTAATACTTTGCCCGACCCGGGAATCGAACTCGAGACCCTTTGCCCGACAGTTGCACTTGCGACAACTTGGCCAATGAGGCAGTTTTTTGCAGGCATGCAGATTTTTCCTATGTTAACATTAATCAGGGCCTGAAGAAAATGCCTTAAGGCAATTTGCTGTTCCATCAGCCGCATGCATATCCCATTACCCTATGGGACATGGTCATAGGAGATTACCGTGACTCTAATAGGCTACCGTATCGTATTCTTGCTCACCAATTGGCACTAGTGTGAATCTCTCGTTATTCGTCCAATACAAAATAACCACATGTTACATCATTGGACGTTTAATATTTGACAGCTGCGTTGATTGGACAAGAAAAGTTCTTGCAACATTTGCTCCACTACCTGGTAAGCAAAAAAACGGCTCCCATTGAATATTTATTGGTTTTGGTTGCCTAAAATTCTCTTTTGCTATGTCCCCTCGCCAAATAGCTGGAACCGGGTCCAATCTCACATTTAGATATGCAACAGCATCCTCTAAATTTTCAATGACTTAACTGCGGTTCCAGAGTGTCCTGGCTAACGTGGGCATAAACCTTAAACCCCTTAAATTAATCTAGAATAATGGGTAATCTCCTTATCTAAAGAAGAGAGCCCTTCTTATACAATAAACGTATTCCGACTGAAGATGATTGCCAAAAACACCACATACAAATACAGACTAACTTTCCATCCTTACTGATTATCGCGGAGAACCTAACAGGTAACCGGGGCTCCGACTCGACGTGCAGGAGAAGGAACGGGGTGATTTTTAGTCAGTAAGTGTCTGACACTCCCTCCCGCCTCACCCAGGCGGGAGCAGTCATTCGACGATCTTCCCCCCTTAAAAAAATCCTTGCTGATTGTTATATCGTCGGAACTGTTTAATATTTACACCCAACTAAATAATGAAACCGATTTCCTCACACTAGATATAAACATAGACAATGTATGATCCATTTAACTGAATCGCCATCAGCATTTAAATAATTATATTATTCTCGAATGACGGACAGAACAAAGTAATTTTCCTAGTACGCAGTTGACAATGGAAGGGCGTGAGTACCAAGCCACCATGATGATTATACAATCGTATCACTAAGGAATTGTTCGTGGTAGGTACTTACCTAGTAGGTGGCATGATCTGCGTAGGTTTTTCATATGATACACTTGCAATGGTTAGCTAAATAAGTTGCTAACGTTTGCTGACTGAGATAGCGAAAATATTCAGGATTAGTTTATGCCTTAGTTATTGATTTACGACATTACCTACTGTTTATCTCAAGTAGCCAGGGCGATAGCCAGCTCAAATAATTTGGGGCCAAAAAAGATATAATCAAAAATTGACCCTTTCCCATCCGTTGCGTCTTGTCCCATGCATTTTAAGGATGATTCACGGTACACCGTGTCGCGATCGGGCCGGGCCTCGGCCTGGACACGTCCACCGTGTGCCGGCTGGGACTGTGATTCATATTACACCGGGCTGTTTGGGTGTACGCCGTACGTGTTTGCACAGTTACTCTATTGAATCTGTGATAGATAATGATCTTTCACTTGTCTTTTAAACGAATCCAAAAATTGCCCTCGTCTTATTGATAATGGAAGTGCGTTCCACAGTCGAATGGCTCTTACAACAAAGGATTTGTCATAAAAGGTAGTCGTATGTGTTGGCATCTCCAATCTCCAATCCGCAGTAGACCTCAATTGCCTTGAATGTGTGTCATGATTTCATGAAGGAACTTAAAACCATATATCTGTTTTTGTCAGCTAGTGATTTTATCTGTCGATAGACTTGACGCTTAAGTAATTATGCAATTTTCACAATTTGAATTGGCAGCTATTGCAATTGCTATTGATCACGAAATATTAGAAAAACGAAGCGAAAGTACTAAAAGAAGATGGGGTGTACATCCAACCTGGAGAAAGCGAGAAGCAGAAGGGGAATTTTCTTTACAAAGAACGACGAGAGCAAGTTTAATGGTTATTTTAGAATGTCTAAAGAATGCTTTACTTAATTACTTGAAAAATTAGAACCAGATCTAACCAAAAAAATTACAAGATTTCAAAATCCTACATCTCCCAACGAACGATTAGCAGATTTTATATTTGTTATATAAATACTTAGTATGGCTCATGTCGTAAATCACGGGGTACTTGCGTACACATTCTAATAATTTTTCATCGTCCATTTTGCTGTTGAGCTGCAGACCCTCACTAAGATTTGACGTTGACTGCTCTGCGGGTGCCCGGACGCCTACGTTTATGTTACGACGCGCGACGTATCGGGGCCGGAGCCGGGACCGTGCCGGAGCCGGGAAACAATACCCAACGACATTACAACGCCGTGCCCCGGCCGTGTCCCGGCGACACACGGTAAGGGCACGGCCGAGCCACGGTCAGGCATGAATTAGATACTTCATACAAAAGTATATCATTAATGTTAGACCGTGCCCGGTCGGGGCATGGCCCGGTCGAGACACGGATAAGCGTGAATCATTCTTAATCCTTTCATAATTTTTACGTTGAAAATAACACAATGCTCAAACTTCGTTGATCTTAAACAGAATCATTTAATCAATCACTTTAGGTAATCGAATTTTACTGAGTTTATGTAATTAAATTGTCTAAAACTTCCTAATGACTCGTAATAACTATAATATAGGTAATAAGGAAACCAATAAAATATCATTTTGTAGCTATGAAACAAAATAATTAAACAAAAGTGATTAAAGTGTATCTGCATTATCGTAGTCTTACATAGTTAAGTGTGAAATTAAATAGGTAGGTACCTAGCCATTATTGTTGCGTCTAGATATAGTTTATTTGTTAAACATGGTCATTTACTTGTTCACAATAGCGTGTCATGAGACAAAATGATAACAACCACAGATTCACAGACCACGGAAACCTTGGGAAGTGACGATTAAGTTCTTTTTTTAAACATTTAAATTACAAGGTTGACACGATCCCGTAACTTAGAGAAAAAAAATAAAAAAAACTATCTATGATTCGTCATAGTTACGGTTTTTGTTAAAAAAAAAACACAATGACAGAAACGGCATTGCCTATGGTATGTACCTATGCAGATAAAAAAGATGTGAATAGTTGTCATATTTTTTAATCTTCATTTTATGTACAGAAATGTCACAGCATAATAAAAAGATGATGAGATTTCGTCCTCTTACATCTCCATTGGAATCAAAGTAATCATGATTGAGTAAAAGTAAATCAAGAAAAAAGTAAGTGTGTCTTTTGTATGAGACCAAGGAAAATTTTAAGACCAAGGAAAGTTATAAGTAAATTAGAAAATAGTTCTATGTAAGTGGCACATGTGATAAGAAACCTTTAAGTGTACCTTTAGGTGTAACCTAGAAACGTTATCTTTCAACCAAAATGGTTTCTATTGACTGAGAAGCAAACGGGCTATGCATTTAAATTGCATTAAATATGGAAATTCGCATGCATCACCACCACGTAAGCATAGCTGGATCTGGATAGAAATCATGATGGAGTCTTAATCTATAACCCGACATCGTGTAGGTCAACTTTTTAATTTAATCGATTAAAGCGATCGAGTGACATGTATAATGAACAGCACTATCTTCTATTGCACAAAAGACAGTCACTTTTTTCTCACGTAACTTTAACGTTTAATAGCAAATAACATTGTTAATAACAGTTATTATAGCAACGGAAACAATGGGAAATGTGATTATTTTACATTAATTGATTGTGTTTTGCTGTCATAAAAGAAGCTCATGACGCCATCTTGAATAACTAACCCGTTGTATTGGAATCTTTGTGATCAATCGATATTTATATTCGAAAACCTAAATATGACTTTACCTTGACATCGATCGCGTGCTTGACTAAACGAGCATTCAGAATTCGCAAACGTAAATTCCGTAGTCAATGGCCCATTCTTATGTTCAATGATTTTATGACAATTACGATAAATGCACAGACTATACATCAAATTACCGTAAACTGCCAAAATTCTTAAAACAAGGTTGTTTTCACGAATTAGCATTAAAAAAACATCATTGATTACCTAGTTTATTAGTCCATGATCATTAATAAATAAGTTATCGGGTTTATGTATAGGTACTACTCGAGTAACTTAGTTTTATTGCAAATGGCAACGCAAAAAATCTCTATTATTTTTTAAATAAAACAAAATTGACAAAATTCTAAACAAAATCTTCTTTTGAATTCCAGGTGAACCAGTGCGCTGTTGGACGTGTTCCTCTGACCTGAACCCGCTCTGCAACGACCCCTTCCTCGCTGGAAGATCAGACAACTCTTACTTGTTCAGATTGGAGAACTGCGACGCCAATGCGGGAGCCACATACCCCCATCTCACGTCTTCCAAGTCCGTCTGTAAGAAGATGAAGAAATACAGTAAGTTTTTTCATAAAATTGCTCTTTAGTAGGTATTTAGGGCCTTGTGCTCAAAAATGTCAACATCGGATAAATCAAAGAGCTAACACCTATCGCCTTGTACCTGATAAGGTCTGAAGACTAATATTCTGTTAGTTATTCAAAATTCCAATGAATATGCCTATTATATTATTATGAATCAGTTTATTGACGAATACATTATCCGTAGTATCCGTACTACCTACTCCAGGTTAATTTCGAAATGGAATGTAATTAGATATTATGCTTCCTTTATCTCAAGAATCAAGGCCAAGTTTCATTGGTAACGCATTGAACATCCATGTAAGAAGGTACCACCATGATCCTCTTACGAAGTTCCAGATGATTGAGATATTAATGAATAGCTGAACAACTTGAACCCATTTATCCCGAAGCGGTCATCGGTGACCGCTGTCCACTAACTATATCATAGACCTTATTTCCAATGTTTAGAGACTACTTTTGTATGAACAAATTTAGGGGATGATTTTCAATTAATGGTTTAAGAAAGCCTATTAAATAGAAGATTAAATTAATTATAAAATATTCCCTTCATGCCTTCTACCTTCATAGTCAGATGATACAAGTAAGCACTATCAAGTTTTTGCCATAAATATTTTATTGGTTGCATAGAAAGTTGATCAGGAAGTCCTTCCTCGAGCACTTGGTAGACACTGGTCTCGACCACAGTTTCTTGCGTTCCTTTTATGGTAGGATGTGGTTAAAAGACAGGATGCAGGCAATACGAAGCCATAAAAAAGTAGTGTTAGTGCTACTGCCAATCACATCGAAAGTGTATCAGGAAAATTAGATAACAAATTGCGTTTAATTTGTAATAGCTTGGTTGCCTCGTTGGTTGAGATTATTGAGAAGTCATTAGTGCGACTAAAAAGGAAGGAGATTTAGGTTCTAAGGTTCTATTGGCGACACAGCAAAGAGTACCTACTATAGAGGTTTTCAGTTCTACCAAAACCTCTCAGTAGTAACGCGGAATTTAGTCACCACTATTACACGAAGGACTGTATTTGACCTTTGAGAATATTGTGGAAAAAATATGTTCAATACTGGCTCATATATTTTCATTCTACAATAATACGAAGCTGACGTATGAATTTATTGAGTTCTAATTTATTGTTACGCGAAAACTGAGTCACAACAACTGTTATACTATGTTTTGATTCCCGCACACTAATGTTTATACAGCCAAAAGATAATAGTTTCTGCCGCATTGTATTCGACATTCTAAGATTTGTAAATATAAAGGAGTAGGTGTGCTTACAATTTAGCAATATGATTCACTAGTTCCTAATTATGTTATTACGCTGATATTTGGCTACTAGGCACAATTTTAACACGTTTAAAATCTCAAAGCAAAGTCAACGGATAGGTTTTTAGACTACTTAGCTATAATAGTATTAAACATTGTAAATTGGGTATAAGTCTATTGCCAAAAACCAGGCACAATTTTATACTCCATTGTTTACAAAATAGAAACATCCAATAATACTATGCCCCCTTCCTGAGAATTGAGTACAAATATCGAAAAATTGAAACTGGGATACAAATTAAAACATGAATTGAGTTTATATTATAACTTCCGTGAGACATACCTACTAAATGAATTATTGAGTTTTCGTCTTACTCATGTAACTGACGCCTGACGCCTCTAGCATGGCTTGAAACTAGTCAAGTTCCTCGGCAAACAGTTACGTGAGTATGTAAGCCGAAAACATAATAACTAATGAAATAAATGCAAAAAAAATTTACAAGGAAAATAAGCATACAAACCCACGCACTCGGCCTAATGTAATCGTGTTAAGATTGTAACTGTTACAAAAGAAATGTGCCATCATATTGTATCAAAACAACATTATTATGCCGGTCGTGAATTCCTATGGTATCCAATGGGTATTTCTGAATACTTGAATAGATATAAAGAAACGTAGCGTCGTTGCCAAAAAGAATTTGGGAAATGGGGACAGTTTCTACAACTCTTGGGTAGATATCTATAATAATATCTTCTGCAACGTCTGCAACGCGGAAGAAAGGTTATAAAATGCTTAAAACTTGTTGTTAAAAGGTTTAGTTTTAATTTCAAATTATATTCCATATAGCTATTACATGCAAGCTTGTATCTGGAACTAGAATACTTTTTAAGACACTCGCCAAAAGCTTTAGCTTAAGGAATTTAGAAGATTTGTCTCAAATACCTAGGTAAGGTAGCTACTAGGCTTTTTATTAGGCCTATACCCTTGTATAGGCCTAATAAAAAGCCTAGTAGCCTACCTAAGTATAAGTAAAATAGAGAAAATTTTCCATTGATGACTGACTTCCTCTTTCCTACCAATTCTAAATGTTGCTGTGCCCGACAGGGTTCATAATTGTTACCTACCTCTTTTGTACTTCTAACCACCTGCTGTGTTACATTATGGATGCAATAAATACATGATTACTTTTTCAAATCGACAGGTACTAACAGGTGACTTAACGGCCAAAGGCCTACCCCTTACCAATAAAAAAGTTCCGGACCCTATTCTAAACAATAAATGTATCCTCCTTACAATATTAGGCAGTATGGATCACTAGATGATTTCCATTGACCCTAAAAGCCCTAGCTCCCACAAACCGGCAGTTTTACGGTGGGTAACTTTTAAAAGCGGGCCCTAAGTCGCGACCAGTTTACATTTAAACACCGTTATTACAGTTAGGTGACCCCAATGTTATCATTGGGTACTTGTATAAATGTAAAAACATTGGTTTATTGATATATTCAAAGATCGTACTTGTATCCGAATGCTTTTCTATAAAAAGGTATTTTAACTCGTCGAGTACCGGTTTTATAGACACAATTAAAGAACAATAGGTCGCGGTCACCGGTGACCGCTTGGTGCTTGACAGTTTAATGGCAAGAATTCGAGGTGGAGGACAAGTCTCATATGTCATATAGGACTTGCTAATCTTTTGACTTGCTAACATGACGGCTTAGATTCGAAGAGTCGGAAGACCTACATATTTCATAGACTCCAATTAGATGGGTAAGTAGTAGCCACGCGTTAGTAGAGAAGTAAGAAGTTTAGATTAGGAAACAGTGACCATTTCCAAGACAGAAAACGTACAAAAATATAATGTGTCATTCTCATTAGTATTGCATTTATTTCATATCTGTATGTGACTTGTGTCACCACTAGTCACCCCAGTCACTGCTCATCGGAGCCGCGGAGAACCTAACGGGTTACCGGGGCTCCGGCTCGGAGTTTATGAGTAGGAACGGGATGGTTTTTAGTCAGTAAGAGTCTGACACTCCCTCCCGCCTCACCCAGGCGGGATTCGAGAAGTCATTGGATGATTTTATCCCCTTAAAAAGTCCCCGTCATGAAATATGCCTATGAATCTGACGTATTCCAGTTTCAATGTCACAGACTTACCTTCATGTAGTACATGTTAATTATACCTACGTAGCTACCTGTATATGTAACAATTAGGTAGCTATGTCTTTCTATTGTTCGGTATAATAGCTGCTAATTCCTGATGCCATTTGTTTTGGTTTGAATTCCTTGTGTAACTGAGTACATACTTATAAGGTCATAGGCGTATACTTAGGTCAATTCTCTTTAACCAATTCAAAACTGGAATAACAGTTAGTGGTAGGTACGCAAATCGAAATTGTGCTGGGACATGCTGCACAGGAACCAGTCGCCAGCCACTACGCTAACTGTGCAGGCAAATAAGACACAATACAGTTATTTGTTTAAGTAAAAGTGGCGACAAATCATACAAGTTTGTAAACAATTTATACTCACAATGAAGTTACTTAATACAGACTTCCTCGGTTTTAATGCATCACTGATTCATCGAGATTACGGTACTAGTGCTCTGGATTATTTATCTCCAATGGTAGGACTTTTTGATCTCTTTAATTCAATGTTTAGTGTTGTGAAGCTCGTCTCTCAATATAAAACCAAACGTATAAAAGAACTAAGTATTTATAACCTACCTCCCAACTTCACCACATAATTCCAATAAATTATCTTCATTACTCTAGCTAGTCTCTTAGTATAATTAAAAGTTACAAAGGGTAATTATAATTACACAGAGACCTCTACAAATTAGGTCACGCACGACGCCTGTTAACTTCATAGAGGATTCACTCTTTATAAACACATACAGCTAATTTGTACGTTTCAATGCCAAAGGTCGTATATGGAGAACATTTTGAAGTATGTAGGTATTTGAATAGTACATAATACAAGGTTGAAATCGACAGTAGTTTAAACTATTGTAATGAGGATAATGGTGGTATCTACTGAATGATTGTTGATCATTTTCATTTGCGTGCTTAGGTAGATATCTGTCTGGTTACGATGGTATATTTATTGCAATGGCGTGTCGCTTATTTATATAATGAAAATAAATTATGTGGGTACCTATGTAAGTACCTACTGTCCACCGTTAGATTTCAAAATATAACTTTTACCTATAGTTCACTTTTTGCAGATATCTCGTTTTATGAAATTCCGTTTAAGGTTTACCTGAGGCGTTAGTACGAGTTCGATATACGTTTAAAGTATTCGAAACGAGTACGCGCTAATTGGTTCTGATTGGTTAGTATATTGGCGCTGGCCAATCAGAGCGCCTACTCAGAGCGAATACTTTAAACGTACCTAAATAAAACTCGTAGGTACTAAGGCCTCTGCGTATCAACGGAATACAAGCTAAAACAGTGATTATTTATTTATTTATTTTATACTTTATTGCACACACAGAAAATTTAGTTTACATTGTAATAGTAATTTGAGTACAATGGGTGGTCTTATCACACGCGGCGATTTCTTTCATTATTGTTACTATATATTTTTTATGTCTGTTATCCGTGCCGACCTTGTTCTTAATTAACTAAGGTTTCATTTTCATTCAAGTATTATAAGTTTTAGGTAGACTAAAGAAAAAAAAGTTCTTAATATTTTTTTTTATTTACAGTCAACGGACAACTGGTCGTGAGCCGTGGATGCACGTGGAAGCGTGCTGATGACTACAGCACGCAATGCCCAAGCGCGTCCAACGGACCTTACGAAGTGACCTCATTCTGTGAGACCTGTGAATACGACGGCTGCAACGGAGCAGCTACTATCAGCAAAACCATTGCCCTACTAGCTGCCCCCCTCACACTCCTCCTCTTCAAGTAACTAACTCAATAAAACGCAATTCATAGTACAAAATAATATATTAGAGATATTTTTATTGTCTACCGTGGGACCATACCGTTTTTCCCAATGTACAGAACCGAGTATACCCACCGTGAAGTCTTAAGTTTTTCTCACATCGAAGTAATTGTAAATTATATTTTCTTTTTTTATGAGTTTCTTGATATGATTGATTATTCAGCCATGTTTTCATGAAGCTTTACAGTGCCTGCCTTCATGTTTTAATCTATGTTTGTGTAATATAATACTTTAGTGATTTCCATTATTTTTGTAATGTTTTGTTCTCACTTGCTGGTTAAGGAGTATTTTCTGTAAAAGTTTGTATGTTAAGATCTTCAGTAACTTAATGTATCTTCACTTATACATAAGTTAAGTTAATAATAAGTAAGCAATAACTAAAATAGTTGTATTGTTCATGTCATTGTATTGTCGCAATACTTTCAGAGTGCCTTATTTGTCATATTTGAAGCATGGACGTTTAAAAAATGGCGGTTATAGTCCCTTGAAACAACGACTGTGGTACCCGGCTACTACAGACTTACACGCAGAATTCACACACATTGACATGAAGAACATCTGTCGCGTGACGTGACCCGTTACAGGTCACATCATTACACTTCATACATTTACGGTGTTGCAAGTAAATAAATACACAATTAACATTTTGGTGCTTCAGTCATTTCGAAGTGACATTACGTCTGCCTTTTTTTCAACGTCCTTGATTTGAAGAATAAAATAAAATAAATGTAACATCTATAGGTAACGGTGACCACATAAAGTACCAACCAAAATGAATGCTAATGTTGTTTTAAATAAAACTTATCGTAAACATCTGGGTTTTATTCTGACACTTAATCTGTAAGATCTAGGCTAATGCCTCACGGCGCGATTTTCGGTTGCGGACCCGCAGCCTTCGTAGAATACAGATACCTACATATCTAAAAAATGTAAAAAAACATACTATATGCGGTCGAATTGAGAAACTCCTCTTTACTGAAGTAGGTTAAAAAATCAAAGCACATTTCACGGCGCGTTTTACGCCCGCGGCGGTTGCGATTGTTTACGGCTCCCGCTGTACCGCGGCGGGAGCGGCCGCGGTTCTGCAGCCGCGGCGGGTTGCACTCGCGCGCTTGCGACTGGTTGGCGGGCTATAGCAATGCGAGGGCCGGTCCGAAACTCACCTGATTGTTAGAACGTCGTGAGTCCGTAGCGTTAGAAGGCAAGTTAATCCATTATTATCCAGTCTAACTTTAAGGCTGTCATACCCACTTCAATACCACAAACGCAAGTATAATAGCAGGAAAGTTCCAGTTAAGGAAAAAAAACACCAATAAGAGCTTAAGCGCTTATTAATTGTGGTTAACCACACAGTGGCATCAGGAATCGGGATTACTAACCCACATTATGAAACATAGTAGGTAGGTACTTAGATAGGGATTTTCCTCATTTCAAAACAATAAAATGTTTGTCATAAATGCTTAACCTTTAAACATGCAAACATCTTATCTTTCAAGAAATAAAAAACATGTAATAAAATTGTTTTAGATAGGTATATCATTTTTCATTTACCTTAAAATATTATCCTAATATTATAAACGAAAGTTTCTGTTTGTTTACTTGTTACTCCTTCACGTCAAAACGACTGAAGGTCCTTTTTTTGAAGTCGGTTAAAAAATACAAGCCCCATTTAGGCACGGCACCTGAGCGTAGCTGCTGGCAGAAACTAATGGTATATTAACCCGAATTACGTAAAAGTACATAAAAATGTACTCAGTAACAGGAACCAAAAGCTTTTTCTTCTCCTCTTATAATATCTTCTGATTCATTTCGTTGCGGGAACCAAGACAGTTACTCATGTCCCTGGGACGCGCCGGACTTCAGTGTTCCGGTGTTTTCATGGTTGAATCTACTGTAGATCCTGGCTTACAGGAGTTGCAGCGGTTTTGGGAGGTTGTGGCGGGCTTGTCCCATTAAAAAAAATAAAAACCAAAAGAAAAAAGGAATTGCCTATTTAAAAGTAAAAAAAAACTTCAAGTAAAAAGCGTTTTCCTTTTTAAGGCCAGCAACGCACTTATAACTCATCTGGTTGCGGATGTCCATGGGCGGCGCTGATCGCTTACCATCAGGCAATCTGTTTGCTCGTTTAACTTATATTCCATAAAAGTACGAATTAAGTTTCAAGGTATTACTTAAATAAAACAAAATATTGTATGTTACAAAAGGCAATTTGTATATTCAAGTCAACGTTATAAAAAGATCGATTCATTATACATACTACATGGACGGGATTCAGTCTTATAAAACTAATTATTTGTAAGCAACTTACAGAATTTATACATGCATTGGTATACATATAAAATACATAATATTATTTATTACATAAAAAGTATTGATATGAACAAGGAATAATGTATTCTATTACCTACTGTTATGAACAACTTTTTGAATAACCAACCAAATTAAGTTGATGATTGCTATAAGAGGACGGAAACATTTTCTGTCTTATTTTTGCTATTATAAAAGTAAGATTAATATAATTAGAACACACAATTTACTCACGTAGCTCTTCGAGATGGTGCTGAAGCCCATAATGGTATGTTGACTATGTGACGTCATGTTTCGCGTGCACTGCTCTTAATTATGGGTCCCAATCGTGACTTGAAACTAGTCGAGGAAGCTCGTAGAGTTATGTTAGTAAACTACATACTAATTGTAATTAATTTACTATGTCTGGCGATAGTTACAGCTACTAAACATAAAGTTAATTTTTTTATAAACATTCAACATCTACCCACATGTATGCTGTGTGTAGTTTGTTATAAAAAAACTTTCACCATTCGCCAACATAATGTACAAAGCACTATTAAGTAACTTTCTACAGATAAGTGTGGGAGTCAAAGGTTAATTTTGAATAACTTCCATTCTATTCATGATTACAGAATATATTTTACAACTCTTGACATAAATTATTTAAAATAATGCAACGGAAATAGATTGTAGTGATGATCCAGTTTTGACAAACACTACACTTTGGCACAAGCGCCTAGTTTCTCTGACAGACAGACTTACGTTTCAAAATGGCCTAATTAAAATAAATGCTTTGAATAAAACTTCACTTTTGTGCCTTTATTTGTGCTCACTGGTTGGAGCCACTGTGGCTAAGGATAATCACTACCTAATATAAAACAAAGTCGCAATCCGCTGTCTGTCTGTCCCTATGTATGCTTAGATCTTTAAAACTACGCAACGGATTTTGATGCGGTTTTTTTTAATAGATAGAGTGATTCTTAAGGAAGGTTTATATGTATAATACATGCATATTGCACCCGTGCGAAGCCAGGGCGGGTCGCTAGTTAGCTACTAAAAAGGTTTCGCTATGAAAAGTTATAGAATCTTGATCTACTAGTTTAAAAGAAGGCGGACATTATGTCAGTTAGAAATTATTGAAGCACCAACATGTCATGGTGTTATTTATGTGTGCGTGTGTTATACATTACCACGTTATTAGGCTTAAGAAATTGACAGATGTCCTTCGTGTCAATGTGTGCATGTTCTGCGTGTAAGTCTATAGTAGCCAGGTGCAACAATCGTAGTTTCTAGAAACTGTGCCCGCCTCTTTTTCAATGTCATAGGTAACCATCTTTATTTTTCATAAAGTAAAAAGTATTTCAATAATACATTTTACTTCTTGTACAAAAATATCCAATATGTTTCAATGTATTAGTAAATGCAACATGTTGTGTATGAAATGCATTATAGGGCAACTATAGGTTCATTTCTACATAATTATTAGAAATCTATTTATACTTACATAGAAAAAAAACATTATTTTTGTACATAAGGCACTTATATGGTAAAACTTAACTATGTATTTGCTACATAAATGAAATAGAGATAGATATACTCAAGTACACACAGATATTTTTAATATTAAAGTATTTTGGAATGCAATGCAACAAACATTACGCTTGAAGCACAAACACTACTTATTTGAGGAGAGGAGATTCAGTAAACTTACTTAAAATTGTCAAAAATATTATTTATACATAAAACTAAAATAATATTCAGTAAGATCTACAACAAATAAATGCTATCTTAAAAAATATATTTGATTTAGCAAAATAGTATTCTATTCTAACACATTTCGTAAATAAAAGTTGAGGCTTACAATAAAAAAAGTTAGCTGAATTGTAAAGACAATGGGGGCTAACGTATTTTTAGTCACCAGGTGGCGCAAATGTAGAAAGAAATTTTTGTCCAATCACAGCAGTTGTCAAATATTGAACATCTAATGGCGTGATACTAGCTAATACCCTATTGGACGAAGAACGAGAGGTTCACATTACCGCCCTATGATGAGCACAAATACGGTAGGCCCCATTATATTCTTAAAAGTTAGAATAGATTTTTTATAGCTGCACTGGATTTCATTTTTATAAACTGGTTTTTGACTTCAATTGTACAAAAATTAGTACTCAATATGAAAATAAAGAACTGGGAAACACTGTACAGAAGAAGTCTATCCATTCATGTTTAAAAGTATCATAAAGTCTGCCTGCAGCCTGTCTCGATAACCTATATTTGTTTGATCCTAGGATTTTCACTCATTTTGTATAGAACATCAAAATAGGGTACATGACTAAGTTTTATTTTAATGTCCGTCTGGTAGGTTATTTAAAAACATTAGACACGTTTTTTTTTATTTTCTTACGGAAACAAATAGGTACTTTCGGCAATATAGGTATCGATTTGAAATATCGCGTGATGTCACTTTCGTGTACGTTTTATACTCACACATGACGTAGCTAGCTCCCATTCCTAACTTTGATTCATTTTATTTAAGTATTATTTTCTTATACAACAAAATAAGAAAATAGGTGTCTAATATTTATTCAATACCTAACTGACGGACTAATTAGATTTTTAATTTCCATACCTTCATCATCCCTTTCTAGAGTTAGGTAATGGTCAGAGATTATATCCTCGATTCTTTAGTAGCCATCAAATAATGAAGAAACATTAATAATTATAACATTCGTAAGATATACTAAATTATTATGTTCTCGGCTTACTCACATAGTACAAGTAGCATTGCGACATTCGCCGCGTCGTATTGCGAAATACTGCTTTTGAATATACTGCTCTAGTAAGCCTAAAACTAGTTGACTTCCTAGTCAAACAACTACTAATGCCCGGTTCCTATATTTAACGAATCGTCATGGTATACGAACTACTATTCGTTTTTCGAGTACCGACTACGAGTCGTAAATAGTGTTCCACAATTTATTTTCTTTACCTGCTTTTGACGAACGTCCGTTGGTCATAAAACTACCGAGCCCTCTTGACTCCAGATGTTCAACATGTGTACGACAAACGTGCGTTTCGTTACAAGCAAAATTGAAACTCAAAATAACACAACATTTAAGATAAAATGAGTTAGATTTACATACAAATTAACCTTAATTAGTTTTATAAGATGTGTAACTAACTAAACCATCGCAGGCATCTGCGTGATGAGTTTTTTTAGTTACTAAACATAATTGAACACAGCTTACACTAAAGGAATGGAACGTTATGACAATCAAGCGCGCGCAATTTTCAAAATTTCAAATTTCAATTCTTCTACCACTTCTGTTTTCTATAAATTTACGCTGTTAAATACGATACCTGTGTGAAATCAATTGTTTGAAATGGATATTACGCCGTTGAGTACCCAGAGATAACATCTATTTGATCTATTTTAACAGAGTTGTACAGTACGACCGGCGAAAGGTGGCGAGAGAGAAGTTAGGCTCTAGCAACTTTAGCGCTTTAATACTCATAGGATATGAACAATTTAAAAAAATAAGTGCCATTAGCTGTTATTATTGCTGTAATCAACTGTTATTGGCATTTATTTTTTTGCAAATAACTTATTTTTTTACGAATACACAAGCGCGAAACTTGCTAGAGGCTAACTTCGCTCTCGCCACCTTTCGCTGGTCGTACTGTACGTTGTTGCTTCGGTAAAATTCGATATGAAATTCGTAAGAATCCAGCAACGCTAAATAATCCACTCTTTCTTTATAAATTCTATCACGCCTATTATCTTTTTCCGAATCAGTGTCACTGGAGTTTGATATAATATCAAACATTTCTCTATCACTATCTGAACTCGACATTTTAAAATTTAAAAGCGAAAACCGCAAAAATAGCGAACTTACTTTAAAAATTCTACTCTAACCGACCGATATCGGCAGGTAACCAAATGACATTACGAATAGTCATCTTGACCGTCTACGGACGGTTAAAATATTTATAGGAACACCATAGACTCTCATCTCTATACAAAACACTTACCGGTACCCTCCCATCCGTTAGTTGCAAGCCGTCCGTAAGTTGTACAACGAGACGTTTTTTATAGGAACGGTTTTGGCTTACGCCTCGTATATAAAACTACTATTCGTAACTAAAACGGATCGTTTCTCAATTATAGGAACCGGGCATAAGTCAAAAACATAATAATGAAAAATGTAGATTAACCCATATATCCCTAAGCGGGCACCGGTGACCGCTCATTGTATAAACTACATTATAGACCTTATTTCCAATGTTTAGCGACAACTTTATGTATGAACAAATTTAGGGGATGAATTTCAACGGGTTAAGCAAAAGGGGTATGCCAAGATCAAATCATTTGTCATTTCTTTGTCACCCCAATAGGAGACAGGCGTGTCGCCATTGCTTTGTAAGCAGTAGACAAATCTACTGATAACAGAGGTTATCGAGACAGGCCATAAGAGATACATACATAACGAAAATTAAGATAACATCTTCAGAATACCAGTAGTTAAAACGATAAAGAATAAAGGTAACGGACTAAATATTGATGAAGAATTACATCCATCTTTACTGTTACAAGTACAGTATTCAATGAAAATGTTATATGTACCAGTTCTCATGAGACAGAATCTCTCATCTCCTTGGATTCCGACCTCACCCAGGTATGCACAGTCTCGGAAGTAGCGCCATTCGCCGTTCACTGAAAGTGATAAGCATTGTTGTTAGTTTAAGTTTTAACTTATTGTCTTGTTCGATTATGATTTTTAAAAAGTTAATAATTCTAAATACTAGCCAGTATCCAGGACTACTGGAAGAAATTCTAACAGGAATAAGTAGCACCTATGTATTCTAATTTTATATTATGTCTTCTGTGCTGTTTGTGTGTACATGAATTAAATAAAAATTATCAAAATTAGTTTGTTTTATTTAAAAAGTAATAACAGTTGATAACCCACAATACCAACTTCTGGTATCAACATCAAAGTTTGAAACAGCAAGGAAATGTATGATAACTTAGTACTTATGTAAAAAATTAGCAACTACATGTACCTACAGATATATTAACAATTTATGAAGAAGGTTTAACATATCAAATACAGGTACAAACCTTTTTGCCTGATCTTGCGGCACATAGAAGGCCGGACTCCTGGTAAATGGGACAATCCCTTTTCTTGTTTGCAATCTGTCATTGGCACTGTACTGTTGTCGAATGGATCAGCGCATTTTGGATCATTGCTCGACCGGCAATTCCAGCATTTTATACTGAAAACTATTATCAACAAGACGTGTTATTGGGATAGAGCTTGGGCGTGACCATGTTTATGAATGAAAAACAAAGCTTACCGTAAGGCACTACGTTCAGGACGATGCAGATATATAAAACATATCGTAAACTGGTATTCATATTGATTATTTCTTGGACTAATCACTGTTAAGGTGAAAATCGGCGTAATTTACTCAAGCTATTCAGTTACTTTAGAAATTATTTACGATTCAATTCAATTCAACAAACTGGCATTCACACCGACTGATACGTTTGACATTTGATTGAATAGAGCGAGGAAGTTTGTATCCAAATTCGGTTCTTTACGGTTTATTTCGGTTTTTTTAACAACTGTAGCTTTGTTATCAAATATTTTATGTTTTGAAACCTGAAAAATAAAACCAACTGAAATTAGTGCAGTGATTAAAAATACATTTGTATTGTACTTCTTTGTTTTAATTTAAACCACTCCTGAATGAATGAATATATGATTATAAATAAAATTCAAATTAAGCACCCTTACCATTTTTATTACATTTATTGAAAAAATAAATTAAATTCACCAATTTTAATTGATTCTTCCGTAATTAACTCGAAATCACCGATATTACCGTTTAAATGACAGTCCTAATTTTCCGGTTTTTGTCACCTCTAAACAAAGTTTGGGTTGGGTGTGTACAGTTCGTTATTTTGTGGTTTTCGTTATTTTTCTATTTTTATATGAATATAATATAATGAAAATGTTATTAAAAGTGTTTATATTAACGTTTCTGTGTATCTTACCAGTCGGTAAGTGGTGGTATTGATTTATTTTCACACATTTTTTCCATCAAATGTTTTTGTACGCGACGTAAACTTCGTTTTGTCATTTATTTCAGCATTTTCTGTAAGATGCTATCAATGTGCATCTTCACAGGATAATAAAGGTGAAGACAATTGCGGTGCGTACAAAAAATTCGATAAAGAAAGCCACATCGCAGTGGAATGCTTCAGTGATGAATCTCATATGCCAGGATCTTTTTGCATGAAACTGACTCAGCAAGGGCCTAAAGGATTTATTTGTAAGTTAAACTTTTGTATTAAGAATTAAAGACTCTAATTAATCATGCATTAATGCTGTAACAACCATTATTAACATTTGTTCTTTCATCTCTTGTATGACTGTACTTAAAATGATTTAAACAAACAATTTGTGTGTTTAATATTTCACATCACGATTTTATAGCTGCTATGCGTATTTAATGTCAACACTGACATTATAAGATTATTGGTACTATTATATACAGTATGAAGTATTTAAGACATCTGTTTCTAATTTAGAACTAGATTCCTATTTTGAATTTAATCTTGTATTGTACTCACACCATATTAATTAATTTATTCAAAATCCTAGATGTGAGGACTTGTAATTGGCTCAGTGTTATCTATATAAGCCTACGCCTATTGTTATCTATATAAGCTGCAAGTCTTCCATGAATTATAAATAAATAAACAACCACTAATAAAAGATCTACATAATTCTATTATTATTTTTTTAATATTGATTATAATAAGAGTACTTATTGTATTTTACAGGGGATGGTAGATGGCGACAAGTTGTCAGACGTTGTGCATCCGTAGCAGTGACAGGAGTTACTGGTGTCTGCAACTGGGGTGTGTACGAGAACGGAGTCTACTGGGAGGAATGCTACTGTTCATCGGATGAATGTAACGGTTCATCGTTCATTACGTCATCTCTCACTCTCATTTTGAGTACCATAGGAACTGTTTTGTTCTTATATAAGTTATTTTAGAACAGATTTGATATTTTTTATATTTTATCAGATTGGATATAGAGCATATCATTCAAAAGTGTTAGTGCCTTAATGTAAAGATTTTTACTCTAAGGTTTCTTATTAAAACCATGTAAAGAATATAATTATATATTATCATATAAGGCTCAACTCACACCAAAACAACATTGAAGTGCAGCAAAGCCGAGCGCTTATTTAGTGTCATATGAATTTTAACTTAATCTTCATTGCTATAATACTTATTATCTCATGGATAACTCGAACAAGTCGCGCGAATAGCCGCGGGAAATCCGGCAAATTGCATAAACGAGAAAACTCGAGAAGTCGCGGGACACTTCGCTACAGATCTTATGGTGGAAGTTGATTCTGAGACATCTATAAAATATGTGACACAATTTAAAGCTGTTGCTTATAAGCAGTAGTAGCAGTGCAACTATTTTCGTTAGCCAATCAAACTGTAGAATTTTTTACATACTGTAAGTTTATCTGAACACAATATGCATTTTGCATAGGTAAACCTTTATATATTATACTAGCGGACCCGACAGACGTTGTCCTGCATATCCACTTAATGTATAAACAAAAATTCATTCAATTTAGTTCAGACGTTTAGGATAACTGATTTGTGAATCTAAACCGCCCAGGGCGCCACTGAAACGCATACTTACTGAAAAATTCATTTAAATCAGTTAAGCCGTTTAGGAGGAGTTCAATGACATACACACATACAGAATTGTATTGTATATAAAGAAGATGGAGAATAATGTCAGTTGGCAGTACAAATTCAATTTACTAAATGATTTCTAAAGTTAAAGCATTTTGAATCTTAAATATATGAAGGGTGGAAGTAAATTATGTGGTTTTCTAATAGTATTCACATAGGTACATACTATATAATGCTTTTATATAAAGATAGACAAAAACTATTGCGTTGTAACAACAGTGCCTTAATCGAGTTACACTTAGTAGATAAATTCTTATATTTTTTTTGTATATTTTCTTGTTTTTTAAGTGCAATCTAATATTCTGTCCAATATACAACAAATATGTATTTACAACAAATACATTTTATACTTTTTTTGTAATGCTTTTAAAGTTAGAATAGTGTGTTAAAAACTCCATTAAGGATGTTAAAAACTGCTTAATAATGAGGTTTTAACATTTTTGCTTTTTAAAAACTCTTTATTAAGGAGTTTTTAACATAGAATTTCCGTCCAAATGTGTGTAAGTGATCTAGTTAATTTGATAAATATTCATAAGAATCTCATTTTTTATATAAAATACTTACAATATATTGTATTAAAAATATCAGTTTTGTATAACAAGACAGAAATAAGAATGTTCTTTGTAATACAATTACTATATGTATGATAATTACATTGTTAAGTTCCAACCAACAAATTAGTACTAATATGTTGAAAATCTTATTTAGTTACTTAATAGCCGTGTTTACCAACCATACTTAAGTTTTTAGACTGCCTCGTTGGCCGACTGGTCCCATATGCGACTGCGGAGAAGGTTCGTTTCCAGGGTCGGCCTAACTATTACTGGGTTTTAAAAAAGAATCTCAGTAGTAGCATGGAGCCTGGAATTGTACCGGTATATGGCAATAGGCTCATCCCCTATTACAGGGGACTCATGACATAAATAGTGAAGAGTAGGTGTTATACATTGTACAGTGGCAGTGCCGTAATGTGCACCTCTTCCTACCCCTGATAAAAGGCGTAATGTTTTGTTATACTTAAGTTTTAACTCGTCGAGTACCGTATTTATAGACACAATTAAAGAACAATAGGTTGCGGTCACCGGTGACCGCTTAGTGTTTGACAGTTTAAGCTAATTTAGGTATTAGACTCCGAAACAATCTCTTAATTAAGTGTTACTTAGCATGAGAGAGCACCTAAATCAATACCTTGTACCGATCTTACGTTAAAACTTATGTGTGGTTGGTAAACACCGTCAGTGTATCATTAAAATGGGTACAGTAGCCAGCGGATCAAGCTACCCCAATTTATGAAATTTATACAAAGGATTTTCGACTTTATTTCAATGCAATAAAGTTGAAGATGTAATAGAGAAGAGAAAAGGATACTTTGACCTGCTGACCACCGTACCAGTGGTATATGTATATTGAAATAATTTTGTATCTCTCCCTGACTGATAACAATAAATATTGTTATTTACAATTTCATTATTGTTTATTTTTTACTTTATACTTATTCGATCATTTCAGAATAGGGTAGTTGCCAGGGTAAGAACATTAAAAATGTAATTAGTCCGTCTTCTAGATAATGACAAAATATTAGACACGTATTTATTTATTTTCTTGTAGGTATAAAGTTACAATACTTCAATAAAATGGAGTTAAGTTTAGGAGTGGGAGCTCGTTACGTCAAAATGTGCTACATTTTGTAACACGCTGTGACGTCACACGACATTTTAAATCAAAGTATCATCGAAAGTATTTAATTTTGTGAGAAAAGAAAAAAATCGTGTCTAATGTTTTAAAATAATCTACCAGACGGGCATTATAATAAAATGTAGGATACTACCCTATATTATTTCAAGTTACTTAAGTTGAGTTGTAGTAATTATAAAATCGTGTTAAACTTATGACATTATCACCCGAATACACCCGAGCGTGCGGCGCGCGTGTCGCGTTCCGCGCGCACCTAAAAGAGACATCAGACCACCGCGGATGGGACCCAATCCTTACTAATATTATAAATCGGAAAGTGAGTTTGTTTGTTTGTTCCACTTTCACGCCGTAACTACTGAACCGATTGGTTTGAATTTTTGCAGACGTAAAGTTAGAAGTCCGGATTAAATAATAGAGTACTTTTTATCCCGGAAAAATTTGATATTCCCGAGGGAAAACAAAAGTATTGGTATAGATGGCGCTGTGTGTATTGGTATATGTCATATAGGCTACTTTTTATCCTTTTGTGACGCAAGCGAAGCCGCGGGTAAAAGCTAGTAATAAATAAATAGGGCTGATGTCGATACGGAGCCGCGGAGGACTTAACGGGTTGAAGGGCAGGAGTAGGAACGGGGGTGGTTTATAGTCAGTAAGAGCCTCACCCAGGCGGGAGCAGGTAATTCGATGAATATTCCTCTTTAACAAAAAATAAAAAAAGACCCGGAACAACAATCTGTGGATCACACAAAAAGTAGGTAAGTTGTTCCGAAAACCTCGACACATTGGGCGGCAGCCATTTGCCAAGCCACCGCGCCAACCATGTAGTCGAATTTTTGTTAAATGTTTATTTCAGGTTCAGCGTTTCAGTCTGTGTAGGTACATATCTAACCTTAGCATGTGGTGTGTACCTAAATAAAATCGAGTGTGACAAATCGAGCCATTAGGAAGTCATCATCAACTTGCATAATCGGTAATAGCTATTTATTACCTAGAAGTGGTAGTAGTAGTAGGTGTGCAGAGTACCTAGTGGCAGACCAACTGACTAGGCAGCTATATATTTTTTAATGGGTTAACCCGGTAAACTGCTGATGATGACTGATTGTAAGCCATCGGAACCGCCCATGGACACCCAGAAATACCAGAGGCGTTAAAAGTGTTTTACTGGCCCTTCGCGGATTGGGGAGGTGAAACCCTACGCAAGCGTTGTTTAACGCCAGTTTTATGTGATTCTGTGGTGTGGCATCACTACATTCGAGCTAGCCCATAATTTGTGCTAAAACAAATATCATAATTATGGATGTCGCCCGTCATAAAATGTATTTATATGTTACTTACGACATTTTACGATTTATTTTTCAGCAGTCTGCGCTTATATTGACTAATCGGTTAGACCGTATTAGTCAGCGTAGGTTAACAGATCGGTAAATATGCTGTAACAAAGCAGTCGTGAAACTATTTAGCATATTAATTTTTGCCAAAAAACATTTCAACTACGCACTAATTAATTAGAACCATTGTTAAAGATTTTCGACTTTACCGCATTGTAATAACGTCGACTATAAGCGTAAAATTATTTACAGAAAGTATTTATTATCATTAAATTTATGCCATGCAAGTGCTTACATGAAGCACATGAGATAGGTAAATGAGAACGTATTGCGTTGTGGTATATAAATTACAGTCAAACAATTGTAAAGTCATTATCTTTCGTCCAGTGCTATCTCCAGTTCAGTGTTGAATTCAAAGGAATAAATTAATTCGCAATGAGTTTTGCCGATAAAGTAGTGATAGTTACGGGAGCAAGTTCGGGTATTGGCGCTGCAGTTGGAATTAAATTTGCAGAAGAAGGAGCCAATGTCGCACTAGTAGCACGGAACAAAGTAAAACTGAAAGAAGTCGTTGCAAAATGTGAAAAACACGGTGGTAAAGTACTTGTGTTGATCGCGGATGTAACTAAAAACGAAGATGTGAAAAAAATTATAGAGCAAACCATTAAACAGTTCGGGAAAATAGATATTTTGGTGAATAATGCTGGAATTATTAGGAAAGCTGCTGTGTGGGATGAAAATGCAATAGATGTATTCGACAGTGTCATGACTACAAATCTGCGCTCTGTGGTCCACCTGACAAACCTCGCTGCTCAACATTTGATTCAGACAAAGGGTAATGTGGTCAACGTATCTAGTATAGCAGCAGTAGATGCAATGAGCCCTGAATATTTTGCTTATTGCACATCAAAGGCTGGTCTGGATCAGTTTATGAGATCGGCAGCTCTTGAGTTTTCACCAAAAGGAGTAAGGATCAACTCTGTAAACCCAGGACCTGTGCGAACGGATTTTGAACAAAATCTTGGTGTTAATAAAAGTGAAGCTGACAGTTTTTGGGATAAGACAAAGAATTGGACTACTCTTGATAGGATATCAGAGCCTGAAGAAATAGCTGACTTGATATTGTTCTTAGCTAGTGACAAAGCGAGATCTGTTACGGGATCGTCTTATGTTATTGATAATGGTTGTTTGTTAAAGAGACCGTATAATATATGAAAAATTTAACATTGAACATTGTCATCATACAATTTAAACAGTTGTATTCACCTGTTTATACAAACTCAATGTACTTATTTAGAATAATTAATTAAAGCTAATTAGCATGCGTGTAATTTCGCCTTTTTTACCGAGTTCAAAAAAAAGGAGGTACCATGTTCGGCTGAATGTTTATTTCTTTTTTTGTTTGTTCGCCGATTACTCCATCATTTGTGAACCGATTTCCAAAATTCTTGTTTTGTTTAAAGGGTATTAGGCTCCCAAGATGGTCTGTAAGGTCAGGATCTGATGATGGAATCCTAGGGAAACCGAGGAGAACTTTCAAAAATTGTAGTAACTCCTCAACAGTTTATATGAACTACCTCGTGTTTGTGCTTTTTTTTTAATCTCATTTATTTTAAGGGATTTTTGTACACATTTTGTGACGATGTCAATCCCATCGTGCTTCTAGAGGTACATAACAAATGTATTTACAGTTTTTGCTTTATTAGTTTGTATTGATGAGGACTTTACACCTTAATCGAGTGTGACTGTCATTAAGGGTCTGATGATGATGAAGTGTAATTGTTAAGGGAACTCTTCAACGGTTTAAAGTAACTACCTTGTATTTGGGCTTGATTCATTTGTATTGATTAGAACTTTGCACCTATGTAGATTATAAGTGACAAAACGGAGTTATGTAGCTTTACACTGAAAATGATAAAATAATAAAATAAAAACTGCGTTTAAAAACCGACTTCAAAAAACTAAAAACTAATGACAATCGTTTTTTCTTTTTAGTTTTGACTTTTTGTTTGTTATTAGTTTTTGGTTTTTTGAAGTCGGTTTTAGTTTAAAATCGTTTCATTTCGCTTACTACCTTCATGGTTTTACCTTGCCAACTTATCGCCACTGATCTAACACTAGGCAATCATTAGGTAAGTGATGATCTCATTTCACTACCTATTTATTTTTATTTTTATTCTCTGTTTTTGTTTGAGTGTATAGATGTACCTACACAATTAGGTATTCATTTTAGTTTTAATAATTAATTTAAGTACCGTATTAAAAATCTATATTTAAGTACTGTTTGATAATAGTAACTTGTGGACCTTATGGTGATTTCTACAAATCGTTCACCTTAACTTTCTAACAGTAGGTACCTACTGAGCTGAATCTTCAGTTCTTCATTACCTTCTTGGAAATTCAATCGTATTACCATGAACTTAGAACACTAAACGACTATTAAACTCCTTAAGTAGTCAAATAAAGATTGTCTTGCATAAAAATCTCAATTAAAATGCGTCCCGTCCAATTTGTTTCTCTATTTTTAACTGTGACTACTTACGATACGAACAATGAATGAGTCCGTATTACATAACGGGCTCTTGGACTAATAGAGATTAATTTGTTTTGTAGATCTGTTGTAATGTAATAAAGTTGAATAATTTGCGTTTGTTACGACTATGACTGATCATATTTCACACCTTAAAGACTTCTTCCGCCTGGGTGAGGCGGGAGGAGTGTCAGACTCTTACTAACTCCAAAACCACCCCGTTCCTACTCCTGCACTTCGAGCTGGACCGGTGACCCGTTAGTTTCTCCGCGGATTCGTATAGGTATCAGCCCTATTGGACCCCATCCGTGGTGGTCTGATGGCTTTTTGAGGCGGGCGCGGAACGCGACGCGCCTTACGCTCGGGAAATCTTTAGGCTTGAAGTCCTATAATCTTTCGATGGGACAGGAGAACCACAGATCTTCAGGCAATGGTGAGAAAATAATTCTCTGGATTTTCAAGAAGGTTATAATATTGTTTATGGCTCCGAAAAGTACTTAACAAAATGTTTTAGGCTTTTGTCTTGGGTTGGGCAAGTTACATTAATTGGTGGTTGATTTCTAAGAAAAAGCGGCGACCTAAAATCGAAGGTCGGTGTCGTGCTGGGTTTGGCAATTAGCTCGCTCCCATTAACCTCTTAACACCATGTGTACACTACAGTTACACATAAGTCTATAAACGCCTTAGGAATATATAAGACCTATGTTTGAAGTGTCAGTAAAGACAAATGTGGAAATTAGTTACCTAGCGCCACTTCAGTGGATTCCCCGCTATGATCCCTTGCTAGCATGACTATTGTTGAGCCAAGTGTTTCGGATTCGATTTCCGGATCATAAAGTAGGTAAGTACTATTACGTTTAGTTTTTGGAAAAATCTTAGAAAATGTGCCAGGTTCACAATTATATAGGATTTATTATCATAATTTACCGTAATTTGGTACCTATTATAAAGTAGATACCTACCTATTACTTACTTACTTACCTACATCGTTAATACACACCTCTATTATTAAACACGTTTAATTTTTTTTCTGTTTATAAAACACACGCACATATCACCTAATCCAGTCTAAGTAGGTGACTAAGTAACTACTCGTATATTAACCGACAATCTGTTTACTAGGCTAACTTAACGACATCCTCATTAGCTGTGTCATTAGAGGGTTGTGTCCTCAACCAAGTACAACATAATTTATGGAGTGGCAAATAAGTAGCTTTTTTTGTTACCGGACCATGTGGCTATTAGGTATACGTAGAATCTTCATATAAGGGCTTGTTTCATAATGTCTGATTAAACGCCGATTTTTCAATCATCAGTTAATAGGGTAGTTTCCTAAATTTTATTTTAATGTCCGTCTGGTAGATTATTTTAAAATATCAGACACGTATTTTTTCTTTTTTCACAAAATTAAATGCTTTCGACGATCACGTCACAGCGTGTTACAAAATGTGCACAAAATGTAGCTACATCTTGTAATGTATACTCCTAAACTTAATTCCATTTTATTTAAGTAGGTAGCTTTATCAAGAAAAATAAAAAAATGCGTGTCTAATATTTTTTAATTATCTAACTGACGGACTAATTAGATTTTTAATGTACTTACCCTGGCAACTACCCTATTCTTAACTGTAGCATAAAATTGTCAGTTTCTAGTATGGAACAAGAATTTTGTCAAATATTTAGTTATTCCTTACTTTTTATCGGGAAAAATCGGCTCTTTTAGTCACAACTAACTGATGAGCAGTTTAATATATTTTATTTTCCATACGAAATGTTTAAAAACATTAAGTTCAAAATCAGGCAACATATTTTTTTATTTAAAAATCGTTGCCTAGGATATTTCCCTGTCTCGTGGGTGCATTTACAAACATACAATTTCACATACAGATCACACTCAGACCCGAAACAGCAATTTGTGCGTCAGACAAAGAGTTGCTCCGTGCGGGAATCTAACCCGCTACAAGTTGCGTAGCAGGCAGTTGCCGAGCCACCGCACCATCTGTGCAGTCAAACACAAACAAATAGTGCATATAGGTAGTAAGCTCCTAATTTTTAAAGAAAATGAAGAAAAAATGGAAGGTACTAATCTATACTAATATTATAAAGCTGTAGAGTTTGTTTTTTTGTTTGTTTGTTTGAACGCGCTCATCTCCGAAACTACTGGTTCGATTTGAAAAATTATTTTTGTGTTAGATAGCCCATTTATTAAGAAAGGCTATAGATAAAATATCACACTACGATTAATAGGCGCCGAGCAGAGCGAGTGAAACCAAGTCGCAAGTGCGACTGTCGGGCAAGGGGTCTCGGATTCCATTCCCGGGTCAGGCAAAATAGTATTAGGTTTTTAAAAAAAATCTCAGTAGTAGCACGGAGCCTGGAATTGTGCCCGGTATATGGCAATAGGCTCACCCCCTATTACATGGGACTGATAACATAAAGGGTAAAAAGTGGGTGTTACATGATTGTACAGTGGTATAATTAGCACCTCTGCCTACCCCTTCGGGGATAAAAGGCGTGATGCTATGTTGTTATGTTATGTAGTTACGAATTGATTAGCTATAATTGATAGATGTACAATTTCATCCTTTTTGAGTGATGTGAAGTCGGGAACTTGTATGAGTCGAAGTTAAAGTTTCTCTCTGCCTTCTTTGAAACAGGCTTGGAATGCAAACAACAACATTTTAAATGGTTTTGTCTAAGTAAATGCTAGATGTAGAGTAAGTTTTGTTAGACGTAGAACAATTTATTGTATTTAAAGTTGATAAAACATAAAGGGTAGGTATTGTAGGCGTCAGACACTTACTTTCTAGATCACACGGAATTTATTTTTCTAACAATAGATTACACTTTATCCTCAGCGTCGAAAAGAATCACATTCCTATTCATTCAATAAACCTATTCTCACAAACTCAAAATATCAAAGAAACCCTTGGCCCTAACATCAAACGAATGAAGTAAAGGAAAGTGGAAAATGTCCTTTTCATAATGAATTATGGTTGCTCATTGAGCTTTCAGCGGTCCACCGTTCGTGTGTCTCCGTTGCCCTTCGGGGAAGTTCGGACCAGGCATAGAACTTCCGAACGAAACACGTGCAATACGGTCGACCTTGTCTGACTCATAGTTGAGTCAACGCTCGGAGTGAGTAAGCATGCGTCGGTCGCCTCTCCCTTACTTGTATATTTTCAATCCCGGTCGAGGCTTGATATTTTCCCGTAGGCCCGAACCTTCAGTCCTCACAAAGCCGCGGAGGGACCTCCACATTCCCGCCGTGTATTAACCGGTATAACAGTTTCATGTGGAATGATTAAGTAACCATTGCGATGCTCTGTGAAACTGAGTGATGCTGATGATAAAACGTGAATTGTTTTGTTTTAAGTGGTGATTAATTTATGAGATTGTTCGTGGCTCTGAAGACAGTTGGTGCTGGTTGACCGAGGTCGTAACGCGGTCCTTGTGAAGAGGCATTAACAAATTTAGGCGCCGTAAGTATTTAGTTTAGTTTTTTTTTTTTGTTTTTATTGTTGCAGTTGATATCGATTAGTGTTTGATTTGTTTTGGTGAAGGACGTAAGCATAGTAAAGGTTACGACCCCTGGTCCGTGGGGGCTGGAGGCTGGAGGGAGGGAACCTGTGACGTTATCTAACTACCTCTTGGAAAAATAGGAGGTCCATCATGTGTCTCGTAG